AAAATCAGCTGAAGATATTCGAAAATTAAGATATTATAATCATTTAGGACCTGTTGATATAATTTATGGTGAATGTTCATGTTTTGAACGAGATATTTTATTAACTGAATTTAATAAAAATGATGAAAATCAAAATATAATTAGTCAACGAATAACTAAAAATAGTATTTCAAGTGTTATTATCGATGAAGTTGATTCAATGTTATTAGATAAAGCAAATATGGTTCTTTATTTATCACATAGTATTGATACATTAAAATCATTGGAAAGAATATTTGTTTCAATATGGCAAACAATAAATCAATCAATATTTGAACATATAAGTAAGAATTTTATTGATGATGATTTAATTCAATTTGTATCTGATATGATACTTGAACAAATCGATAATAAAACAATTGATATACCTGAATATGATTCGAATAATTGTGATTATATAAATATACGATTATTTATTAAACGTCGAATGTCTTTATGGATCAAAAGTGCATTTCATGTTAAAGATATGATTCCAAATGATACGTATATTATTACACAAGATAAATATGATAAATCATCGAAATCAGAAGTTAAAATAACTGTTATGGATAAAGATACAGGAACTGAACAATTATCAACACGATGGAGTAATGGTGTTCATCAATTTTTACAATTAAAACATACGAGAAGATTAACATCGGAATCACTTAAAGCTGTTTTTATATCGAATATGTCATTTTTTAAACGTTATAAACATCATATTATTGGTTTAACTGGTTCATTAGGTTCTCATGATGAACAAAATCTTTTGAATCAAGTTTATAAACTTCGATTTTTTGAATTACCAAGATTTAAACAAGAATTATTTCGAGAATTACACGGTGGTGTTCATACAGAACAAGATATTTGGCTTGAAGCGATTAAAAATGCATTAGATAGAGAAATACAATTGAAATCAATTAATCGAGATAAACGACGAGCTGTTTTAATTATTTGTGAAAATGTTAAAAGTGTTTTAATTTTAAAAGAATATTTAGCAAATTCATATCCAAATGCGAAAGTCTATAAAAGTGCCTATGAAAAATTTCAAATTGATAAATTACATCCAGGTGATATTATTATTGCAACAAATTTAGCTGGTCGAGGTACTGATTTAGATACATCGAGCAAATTAGAAGATAACGGCGGTTTACATGTTATTGCGACCTATTTACCAACAAATATTCGAATTGAAACGCAAGCATTTGGTCGTACAGCTCGAAAAGGTAATAAAGGTACGGGTGAATATATCATCTTAAGTCGATATGGTTTATCTATTCAACAATTAAAACAATGGAGAAATATTCAAGAAAAAGAAAGATTAGATTCATTTTTAGTTCATGATTTACCTAAAATCAAAATTGAAGAAGATTTATTACAAGGTTTTAATGACGGGGAATTATCTTGTATTGGATTTACAAAATTATATCAATTGATTGAAACGAATCTTTTAAATGATTTAAATCGATTTGTGTATGACAATGAATATATTCAATATCAATTATATAGTTTAAAAAATCGATGGGCATTTTGGTTAGATTCAATGACTGAACATATCAATATGATCAATATCATTGGTAAAAAAAAAATAATTGAACAATTTCATCAATTCCAATCGACTATTGAAAAAGATTTTCAACGAAACGATTTTAAAAGACTAATTATTGAACCAGCTGAATTTATTAAATTAGGAAAATATTATCGAGATAAAGAAGATTGGTCGAAAGCTTTATTATGTTATCAAGAAGCAAGTAAAGATAAATTTTATTCATTTACTAATTATTATCAAAGTTCATGTAAACAAAATATAAATTATGTTAACGGAATTATTAGTAAACGAGAATTTAAACGTCATTTAATTGAAGTTCAATCATCGATTGAGAAAGAAATGACATTTTTAAATAATGCAGCTCAAGTCGCATTTGAAATCGGTGAAAAAAATCGAAAATTAGGATTTGCCAATTATGGAAATGAATATGATAAACAAGTGAAAGAAAAAACAACGATTTGGAATATATTTTCCAATACAATAACAAATGCAAATGGTTGTGCCATTGATTCCAAAGATTTAACAACAGTCAAATATCTTTCTGATGAAAAGAAAGCCGAAAAATTATTTCAAAAATTACGAGAGAAAAAATTCATCAAACCAACACGAATTTCAAAGAAATTCAAACAAGAAATTGAATTACCTTCGATATTTAATAATGAAAAAACAAAAAAACAAGTTCTTATTTATTTAAATAGCAAATTAAATGAAAGAAAAGAATTTGGTGGACATTTAAAGGAATTAAATGGTGAAATATTTAAAAAAGATTTGAAAAAAATCAATTTATTTTTACCTTATTTAAATGAATTTATTAATTTAATTCAAAAAAATGGTTTTATTCAACAAATTGAAAATAAGTACGAAGATCAATTATTTGTTTTTCAAAATATTCTTCTAGAAAATTTAACTGAAAAACAATTTCCAAATGAAATTTCGAATTTAAAAGAAAGTTTAGTCGATTGTTTAAAAGAAATTTCAAAAGATAAAAATTTTAAAGGTAAAAAAGATGAGATTTTAACTGAAATTGAACATTTATACAAATTAAAAAATGAAATCAACATAACAAAAGATCAATGGAATAAATTCTATGAATTTTTACATCAAAATTCATATTTAGAGAAAGTTACTCAATACTCGGTTATTAAAGAGAAAATCATGAAGAAAAATGATGATCTCAAAGAGAATTATTTTTATGCAAATTTATATGATTTCGAACGACATTATACCGATGAATTTAAGCAATTTGAATTAATATTTCAAAAGAATTTTTTAAAAATAATTTTAATTCAACAAGATCGTGAAAATGATGATTTCTATTTGACATTAAAAGATACGATTGATTCAAATGATTTTGAATTACCTAGAACACAAGATGATGCAATTGATTATTTATGGAATTATTTCAAAGCGAATTCATTTATTAAATCGCCAAGTGTTAATATCGGTTTAATTGATTCGAAAGAAGTTAATAAAAAACGTGATGAAATAAAAAAAGAAATCAAACTATTTTTTGAAAAAGAATTATCAAACGACAAGAAAAATGAATTAGATCAAGCTGTTAATTCAGTTTTTAATATTATTGATCAAACAATTGGTGATATAAAAAAATTACCCGATGAGAAAACAATCGTTAGTTATCTACAAATTAAAACAAGTTATTTTCTTGATAATAAAAAATCAGTACCAGATGCATTAGATGAATTTATTGAATTAGCATTAGATGTTATTTTTCGATTAGTAGAAAAAAAAGAGCCACCACACTGGTATGAAATAGCTGCCGTTGTTACATTAGGTGTTGTACAAGTCGTAGCTGGCGTTTTAGCTAAAACGTTTATTCCAATTGTTGGACAATTAATTGGCGAATTTTTAATTAGTACTGGTTGTGATGATATTCTATTTGGTGTACGATGTGCCATATCAGGTGATTTTAGTTGGGAAAAATATTGGGAACATAAAAAACAAAGTATGATAACAAGTGCCCTTACTGCTGTATTTTTCGTAGCTGCATCATATTTAAAAAATGCCGCGAAATTGAAAAGTATGAAAAAAGCATGGACTTTTCAAAAGTTAACTGGAGCGAAAAAATTACACACAGCAGCTGGAGCATTGGGTAAAACAGCGAATATAGGCAAATATATTGGTAAAGAAATAATGAAAACATTAGTTCAAACTGGTTTATCTGAATTAACATCAACGGGAATTGATTATATGTTAGATACAATATCAAATACTTATGAAATGCAATTAACAGAATCGATTAAAAATTCAGTTAATAAGAAATGGGATAAAGTTGAATTTGAAATCAAAGAAATATTTTCTTTATCTGAAGGAAATGATTCATCACTACGAATTATCGACGATTGTATTAATAGAAAATTAGAAAATTTACCCGAAGCTACATTTCTAAAAAGTTTTACAAGTCGATGTGGTCCCGTTATGCAAGGTTTAGGAAGAGCATTAGCTGATGCTCCAGGAGGAAAAGGAACAATACAACGTATATTCACTTCATATGCACCATCGCTAATTAATTTAGGTGTAAATATTTATGAAATAACGGCTATGATTGATGGATTTATGAAAAATTTAGTCGATGATTTAAAAGATGCGAAAAAACGATTGACAAAAACAAATAAACAATATGTTTTAACTAAATCTCAAAAAACTGATCTTGAAAAATATCAAAAGAATAAAATTGATCAAATTTCAAATACTTTAAGTGTAACATTTAATGAAAAACTTAAAAGTGGTATTATTGCACCAATTGTTAATTTTGCTGCAAATAGATTAATTAGTAAAGGTATTCAATCAATTGCGGGTGCCGATCGTATTGAACAATTAGCAAATCGATTTGAATTAATTGATGCAGCATCGAATCCTGACGATACAAAAACAAAATATGCCGATGATTTGAAAATATTTATAACCGAAGCTAGAGCCATTGATATTAAAGCTTTTAATATTGATCCAAAGAATATTTATCCAGCAAATATTGATGGACAAAATTTACAACAAGTTTGGGATTTATATGGTGATAAAGTTAAAACATTTATCGATAAAGATGGAAAAATTTACGTACGAAGACCATCGTCGAAAGAATATTATCGAAGTGTAAGAGGCGATAAACCAGCTGGTTTACATGAACAGAAGAAAATATCGGAATTATTAGGATGTACGGTAACAAAAGATGAAATGGTTAATAATGAACAAAAATGTATTTTGAAACGAGCCGATGATATTAATATTCTATTTGTCATTAAAGATAATTTAGATGGAACAAAACATGCTGAAATATTAGTTGGTGATAAATTGATTAGTATACATAACAATAATGGAAATAAAAATGATTGTTATTATAATGTTGTATTAGTGGCCAGTGAAATGTCTCAAGGTAAAACATTTGATGAAGCTATGAAAATTCTTGAAGATAGAAATGCAGTCAAGGATTTAAGACACAAAGTATCATTGGCGATGAAAAATGATGAGAAAATATTGAAAGAATTTCGATGGACAAATCAAACTGATTTAACATCACATTTTGATAGTTTAACTGGTCTTCGACAAAATCCTGACAATTTAAAATTAGAAGTAAGTGATGAGGATGTGACGAACACCAAGGACTGGATTAATCGGGATAAACGTGAACGACTAGACAAATTTGAGCGTCAAAAGGGACGCCAGGGAACGTATGAAGGGGAAAATTTTCCTGTAACTTTACATCATATAGTGGCACGAGAAACACTTATTAATGAATTAAAAGAAGACATTAAAGATCTAAGTGATGAACAATTTAAAGAGAAAATGGAAACTTATTTGAACGATCCTAAGAATGAGATGAATAAACAATTCATATTGCATGAAATGCGTCAAACGAGACGAGATCACGATCTAACAAAACATCATCCAGCAAAGGATAAAACGATTCTGCGACAATCAATTGTATGGAATCCAAATATTGTCATTCCTGGACCACCTGGTAGCAAACGTAAATCTGATCCAGATCATGGTGATGCTCAGACTCAAAGAAATAGAGTTGATGAAGAATTAATACCGGAAACTCATAAAACGAAATTGAATAATACAGATCCACGATCAGACATATTGCAGTTACTCAGTGACCTAAATGTCGGTTCCAGAGGAACAGGCAGATGGCAAAGAGCTTCTACAGCTGATGGAGGAAAATTTGTTTATCAAGAAGATTTATCCAGAAAAGGAGATCATTCTTATCTCGACTTTAAAGATCAGGATGACAAAGACAAAAGAAAATTGAACGTAAAAGATGGAACATTAAATTAGTTTCCATAAACTATTTTGTTTGTTTATTTTATTATAGTTTTCTATATCTATGTTTGTTTTCTCTTAGAAAATATTTGATATATACTTCCGGCAATCCAAAAGTAGTGTCGTCACTATCTTATTTCCTTATACGAAGCTCAAAGAAATTTTCTTTTTTATGTAGCGATAGAGAAAAGAATGCTCTATTTTTCTATGGTATTTGATCATACTTCAATTGATACCATAATAAGAAAACTTCGATAAGATCTTTTTGTTCACGTGTGTCACGGTTACATGAATGCTAATGGGTATTTGTTGAATAACTCTTGATAGAAACAAGGTAGAGGCCTGCGGTTTTCACCATTGAAAATAGGAGATGAAGGTGCACCGAACCATAATATATACGTTTTTCTAATATTGAATTCTAAAGTACTTTATTCAATTTTCTAGTAGCCTGAAAAAAGATTTTTTTCTGAAAAAAAAGAAAGAAAAGCATAAAAGTCAGTCTTTTTTACAGAAATTGCTAGAGAATCGTAATACATGCTCTATTAGAACACATATTATTCATATTAGCGTCCGTAGTTTGTAAATTTTCGATTACTAGTTTGAATCTATACTTGATAATTGAAAATTCTCTGTAAACAACTTATCAGATAGGTGTGTCCTTAAAAAAAGTGAATTAAAAACCTAATACGTGGTAATTGGGATTATTAGACACCAGTCAAAGGTTGTTGGTCATTTTGAGAATGTACACGATGCATTTTTTTCTTTCGACGATGATTTGTGTTCTATGACAGCATGCAGCGACTTTTCTTTCATTGGCTTTCAACCACTTTTTTGTAGATGATCATAAACATTAACAAAAAAAATTCTTGTTTGTTGTGAAACAAATAATGCGTTATTCCCATCCATATGAAAACTAGTGTAGCTTTTAAAACAATTCTTTTCAAAACATACCCAGGCCAATGAATCCGATGTAGGATCCTACAAGATTTTATAGGATTCTATAGATGATAGGATATCATAGGATTTCTATAGGAATCTTATGAATTTCCTATAAAAATTTTATCATAAAATCTTATATGAATCTTACCACAGGATTGCAACGAAAATCCTACTAAGATTCTTATTGTAGGATTTCTATAAAATTCTATGAAATCCTATCATAGGATTAGGATATAGATTAGGACATAGGATTTCATAAGATTCTTATTTTTCTCTGTTCTGTCGTCTTTTCTATTCACCCTTTTGTTTGTTAGAGAAACTGTTATAAATACGACGCTGAAAAAAATAAAAAGTCGAGTTGAATAAGCTTAATTTTTCGCATTGAACAGTGTGAACATCAACATGGAAGCTCACTCACTGTTCTTGGGTTCATCCCAGTCCTGATTCAGAGACTGGGAAAGAACCCAAAAGAGAAAAAGTAAATAAATAAAGCTAGCAGTAAATAAACAG